TTTTTTTTTTTTTTTTTTTTTTTTGGGGGGGGGGGGAGAGATGGAGATCGTAGCATCATCTCAAAGACCACATAGCATACCACACCCGTTCCTAAAAAAAAAGAGTAAAAACATTTGTTGTTAAGATGCCATTTATACACTGGTCCTAAAAGTGGCAACTACTAAGAAGAGTCACTCAAAAGTCAGGTCTCATGGGTACTGGATACCTGGAGTGCATATTTCTTCTACAGTTACTGCCTCACTCTTTTGGATGAGGCCATCACAGCAGAAAAACGGCCGGGAGAAACCTTTTTTCCCTTCAGACATTTAGGACCATGTTATGAAATGCACACTAAAGTATTTATTTTAAATGTCAAGCCCTAACCAAACTCACGTGAAATGTCATAGTATACATATAATTGATCATAGTAGAATTAACCAGTTGCATTACAGCTTCGGAAAACCTTTCAGATATGAAACAGCCATTAAACTATTCTCATCCTAATCCCCAAAGATTTTTACAAGTATTTTATACCACAGAAGCAGATGCTTTTGGCTCAGAATATTTTAACGTCCAAAACTGACATATCAGTGAGAAAAGCATCAACCAAAGTCAGTTAGGCAACTATTTTTATCTAGGTCCTGTCTAAGTTGGCAAACTTGTGCCCATTATCTGTGCAATCTTCACATCATCCAGGTGTCATGTTAGCAGTCTTGGTGGCAAGACAAGGATTTTAGTTCAAGTGTCATTTAACAAAAAAAAATTAAAATCAAGCCAGCACAGCAGTGAGACCTAGCAAAAGCCATTCCCCATGCCCAGGCATCTACTATATGTTTAAAGGAAGAGTGTAAAACCTGAGATTACATCTGCTGATCTCTCCTTGCTTCCTAAGTGTGCACTAAACATATCAAGCCCTCTTCTTAGGCTGCAACCCAAGTAGCAGTAAGCAAGCCTTCAGTCCCTTACAAGAGTTAGAGAGAGGTAGTTAGGTGTTAATCTGAAACCAGGCAGAAGCCAGGACAGGGCGGCATCGAAGAGACTGCCTTGTTCAGAGAGGCACAGCTGGGAAGCATCTGGCACTGGAGTCTGTCACTAGAAAGCTTAGGCAGTTCTGAACGATGCGTCTCTTAGGTGCCACCCTGCCCTGCTGTCTGCCTCACAAGAGGTAGAAGGGGATTTCTGCAGAGACATTCACCCCAAGTCAAACAGCACAGATCAGAGTCCGCTGCCAGAAAGCGTAGTTCACTCCCTGGCTTCTGTCAATGTAAAGCATGGGGAAAACTTAACGACTTTCAACAAGAGATGAATTTGAAGAACAAGTGCATCAGTCCTATTCTTCACACTTTATCCAGAGCAGATTTCTGACATCCCTGCCTTTTCAAGCCAGCCGAGTTTAATCACGCACTAGTGCTCTATCATGGCAGCGCATACCTGTAGTGTCTTTTGAATGGAGCGTACCTGCCTGATGTATAGAGGCAAGGATTTTTTTTTTATTGGACCAACAGCATGGTTAGGATAGACTTAGACAAGCTTTCAAATGAAAGGCATTCTTCTTCAGGTCTGAAAAAAAGCCAGCATAGCGCAGACTAAAAACACAGTCTGCAGGGCCATGAAGCAGAAGGAGAGAGAAAATCCCAGGGTTGCCTGGCAGCCAAGAAAAGATAGCCTGGCTTAGTGGAAACTTAAGACTTTTCAAGAAGGAAGAGGGGCATTACCACCCATGGTGTGAAGAGAGATTAACAGGAATCCGGCAGACTGAATATCTGTATTCAGTCCTTGGGTCTTGAATGCCTAGCCAGCTTATACATTTTTGTTCCCATGCTCACATTCTGAAGGTGTGGTATAAATTTCCTTTTGAGCACAAGGATAGCGAGGTCAGAAAATGAACGGTTGTCCTGTAAAACATGTTCTACATGTGTTCGTGTGCCTGCCGTTTATCACCTAATGTACAGTCGTTTTAGTTATTCAGTCTTCTCACCTAAAAGACAGCAACAGATGTTCCATGACTTAAGTTGGTGAAGTTCACACTACATGCCAAAGGAGAAATCCAGGTGTGCTGGAATCAAAGACCAAATGCTATTAACTTCCATAATGCCATTGTTAACTTGCTTTCTCACAATTTGCTGTTAATTGCCTGCAGCCTCCCTTAGCAGCCACACAGGAAGCCAACTGCATCGCTACGGTGGCGACCTTGCAACCGGTTATGTACAGAAGTAACTTCAAGCCAAGCAGCATTCACACTGGGTTCAAAGGGGTTACTTACCTGCGAAAAGACATTCTCCGTGCAAAAATGTCTACACCACAGAAGCAGGAACAACTGGCTTACCACAATTTTTGGATCTTCATTTCAGCAGGACTATTATTAAATTCTTAGCAGCGACCTATTCTTAACAATAATCCTTGTAAAGGTAGAAGTTAGTGTCTTGTTTATAGAGCATGCTCAGCTACATAAAAAGTTGAGGAAAATCTCAATTACATATACTGAATACCCAAAGGAGCTCTGCCAGGCTGCCAGGTCCATCATATGTATTTCTAAAATGTCTTAAATACAGAGTTACACGAAAGACCCTAATGGCTCCAAAGGAGCTATTACAAACAATCGCATAAAGAAAACTGGGGTTTTAAACTTCCATAAATACAAAGCCGGTGAACTCCGGAGGAGCCCACAGTCATCTACATTAAGCAGACATTAAGGATAGAAAAGGAAGCTTAATGCTGTATTTTCTGGCTTTGTTATTAAAATTGTAGCATTTCTCACACAAATGTTTAACTAATAAGCCTACCTCTGGGCTATGGATCGGCTGCCGACAAAAAAAGCACACAGGGCGCAACATAAGTGTTATGAATAAGTTACCGATGTAAATTTACATTTTTTGTCTTTGTGCATGATTATAAAAATAATTCCACACATGGAAATTAGACTTTTCAAAGCTGCTACACTGAATCATTTAATTTGTCTAAGTAAGTACTTCTAATGCAGTTGCACACTGCAATGAACATTTGAATTTTAGATTGAACAAATGAAGTGAGAGATACTTCCTCATAAATACAGTTGGGAGAATCACTTATTGTGTGAAGATGCACACTGTGAAGGCAAGCAATAACCCAGCCCTCTCATCACCCCACGGGAGAGCACTATACCCTTCAACAATAGTATTTTTACTATGTTAGGTTACCTTTTCATGCCATAACACAGGGAAGAGGACTTCATCTCACTATGTAAAAGAAATGGGATAACAAGACCCTGTTTTCAATCTCCATTTTTCTTTCTGGAAGTCCAGGGTCAGCACTAACTAACGTTACCTGTTGCACTAATAAAATAATGTGTACAGTGACTCCCTGGTCAACCAAGATACATCAGTGAGAGACACGTTCAAGAGCAGGAAAGTTGCACCTAACTGAATGACCTGTAAAGTACCATAGCTAATCACAGTACAGTTGTCTACACTGAGAGAAGGTGGAGGTTTGCAACTGCAAGTGCTCATGAGATTCTGCATAATGTGGTCCTAAACACACTAATAGGGAGGGGGAGAAGCAAGGATATGCAAATGCAACCAAGCCGTATGCACATTTAGTCTCATCTTACCTTGCACTTCACAACAAACTAAATTAAATAGCTTTTCCTATTACAAGTCACTGGACCAGAACCTAACCAAGTTCCATGCTCCTAGCAAAAGCTAGAGCCTCTGTGCATCCAAAAAGTTCTCCCGCTACTGGAGAAGCGAAGTTTTAGCAGCCCCACACCTTTGTTCTTCAGCTCTGTGCACAGTTCCCATATGGCCTCGTGTACCAGACTCCCATTCCTTCGGGCTTTAGATTTCCCAGTGAGCCGTGCATCCAACCAAGACTTTCCAGGACAGTGTCCCTGCTTCACCGCCCATCTGCACAGCCAACCCAGTCACCATTTTCCCCTCAAAGAGTGATGCTGTTGAAGTCATCAGCTCCCCTTTGTTAGCCTAGCACAACAGCTTAGAAGTCAAGCACAGAAGTTATGTTTTTACAAACCAAAATATGCAGTTAAACCCAGATATCCCTGCCTTCCTTGGTGCATACAGGACAATATAAGGTATTGCGTTCAACCACCACTGCTAGTCAGTAGCCCAGGAGCTTAACTGAGGTTCATAAAATAAGTCATCGTAGATTTGAGGACTAAAGGACCTTTGGGATCACCTTGTCTAGCTTCCTGCTTATCATGGGCCATAGAACTTCAACCAGCCATTCCTGCCTCAAGCCTATCACTTCTGTTTGAGCACTTGCCTGTCTATTTTCCTGTATTCCCTGCACAGCTTTAAATACTTTATCCTGTAAAGTGCAGAGAGCCCTCAAATGCAAAAATGAAGCCAACAAAGGTAAAAAGGGCTCAGCAGCTTTCAGCAGAGTTTCCTATCTGCTAAGCAGCTGTCAACTCTTACAGGAAAAAAGGATCAAGTAACAAAGGAACTGCTCTTTGATTATCTGTTTAAAATTTATTTGCTATGTTAAAGCTTGCGTTTATGATTTTTAAAAAAGTAAATATACATTTGAGAGAAGTTCGTCTCAGTTCACTTTAAATAATAAAGGAAGCACGGGTACTGGTACACCTGATTTCTTCTTGTTTTCAGGCACTGCAGTTAAGGCAAGGCAGTCCCTTGGAGCGTAACTTGGATGTTTG